TTTCTGTCCTAGAAATGATAAATTAGAAATGAAAAAGTGGCCCTAGCCAGTTTGGCTCAGTGGATAGAGCATTGGCTTGCGGACAGAAGGGTCCCAGATTCGATTCTGGTCAAGGACGCCTACCTCAGTTGCAGGCTCCTGCCCGGCCCAGGCTCTGGTCAGGGTGAGTGCAGGAGGCAACCAGTTCTCTCATCAATATTTCAAGATATGTTTGGGGACACAGTCTAGTATACTTATTGATGGATTAGATGATTGGAGTGTAGGAAATAAAAGAATCAAAGAGTTAAGGATAATCTCTACCCCAAGATAGATTTTAAGACACTGAAGAGCAGAAAGCCTTCCAGAGATACCTTCTGTTTTTAAAAAAAATATTTTTTAATTGATTTCAGAGAGGAAGGGAAAGGGAGAGAGAGAGAGAGAGAGAGAGATAGAAACAGCAATGATGATGGAGAATCATGGATCAGCTGCCTCCTGCAGGCCCCACACTGGGGATTGAGCCCACAACCCAGGCATATGCCCTGAGCAGGAATGGAACCGTGATATCCATGGCTCGATGCTCAACCACGGAGCCATGCTGGCAGGGCAGACCTTCTCGATTTTTCTCCTTATTTATTTAAGCACATACTTCATACAGTCCACCACCACGTCTTTCCTTTCTATCTTCAAAATCGTCCCACATCCTACTGCTTCTCGTCACCATCACCACTAGTCCAAGCCACCAGCAGCAACTTTAACCTGTCCACTGGACATCATAAATGCAATTATTCTCCTTCTCTAGGCATCTATTATGTGAACGCCTGGTTAATCTTTCTGAAGCATTGCTTAATCATATCACATCTCCTTTCTGACAGTGAGAAGTCTAATCACTTAGCCTGATAGTCATTTCCTTTATTGCTGGTCTTTCTCAATCTCTGTTCCAGCTTAATTTTCCATCATTCCCGTCTGAACCCTTGCCCTTTTGCTAAATTGCTACATTTGCTCAAAACAGGTACTTTTCCATACTTGTGAGGTAACCCACATCAGCCCCATCGCACCCAAACCTTCCCTCCTATTAAAAGTCAAGTTCAAATCTCACATCCTTGGAGATCATCTCAGGGGCAAAATTATATACTTTATATATGAATATGTAGGTATACTTAGTCCTATTTTCACAAATATGTAGCCAGTAAGGGCAGTCAGTCACTTTAGTTTACATTAAGCCTCTCAATTCCTGCCCAATCCCTTATATTTGTACTTCAAAAAATTCTATGTAATCTGAGTTTTTGTTTTCTTTTCAGTAAAATGGTAAAAGTAATATTTATCTCATAGTGCTATTATTAGGATGAGTTAATGTACAGTGATTAATACAAAGTGGTCCTTAATTATTAATATTTTTAAATTTTTCCCTTTGTATTGAATTTATTGGGGTGACACTGCTTAACAAGATTATACAGGCTTCATGTGCACAGTTCCACAACATATAATCTTTTTTTAATATATATATTCTAGTGATTTTTTTACAGAGAGGAAGGGAGAGGAATAGAGAGCTAGAAACATCGATGAGAGAGAAACATGGATCAGCTGCCTCCTGCACACCCCCACCGGGGAGGTGCCAGCAACCCAGGTACATGCCCTTTGACTAGGATCGAACCCGGGACCCTTGAGTCTGCAGGCCGATGCTCTATCCACTGAGTCAAACCGGTTTCGGCATAATCTGCACACTCTGTGTGTTCACCACCCCAAGTCAAGCTTCTGTCTGTCACCATTTGACTCAGCTTCCTTTGAAGTTAGTTTTTGGAAGTCTTCACAGGTTGCATATTAGTTAACAATTCGTCTTTTACAAAAAACTTTTAACAGAAGTGACATTGAGAGAATAGAGGGATGGCTTATACTCCCAAGTCTGCGTTTCAACTGACGATGAAATAAGATTATTGTATTGAAAAGTGGACTTCGCTCTTCCCCTTATCCAGGAAGGGCTCTTCCTTTAAAAGGTGTTCAGCTCTCACTTTACCAAAAACTCTCTAAGCATCCTGAACAACGCCAAGAGCCCTGATATTTGTGTTTCCGGCAGTGTGTACGGAGTACGGAAAACACGCATTCAGCTAACACAACAGGATCGACATTTAAGTCAATTCAGGAAAAAAGGCACAAAAACAGTCTGTTTTACAGACTCACTTGTCATTTTAATGTTAAAATAACATGTAACTTAATGCTTTAATATCCTAATGTGCCAATTTTTTAAAAGAAAGATTCAGACTTCCAGGGGCATTAAGGGAATTTAAAGAGGTAGTCCACTACATAAAGTACTGAACCTGTAAAAATGGCTTCTGTATCTTTCATATTCATTATACAGGTTTAAATGATGCTCGAATAAGTGATTTTTTTTACCCATTTTATTTCCACCAGAACACACATGCTTCATCAACATTAATTGAACATATTTGAGATTAAGGGCTAGCTGATAAAAGAAAAATTGCTGTTATTTTTTTTCCTTTTTAATTCTCACCTGAGGGTATGTTTAGAGAGAGGAAGGAAGGGGAGAGAGAGAAAAAGAAAGAAAGAAAGAAAGAAAGAAAGAAAGAAAGAAAGAAAGAAAGAAAGAAAGAAAGAAGAGAAAGGAAGGAAGGAAGAAAGGAAGGAAGAAGAAAGAAGAGAAGAAGAAAGAAAGAAAAAAGAAGAGAAAGAAAGGAAGGAAGAAAGGAAGGAAGAAAGAAAGAAAGAAGGAAAGAGGAAGAAAGAAAGAAAAAAGAAGAGAAAGAAAGGAAGGAAGAAAGGAAGGAAGAAAGAAAGAAAGAAGGAAAGAAGGAAAGAAGAGAAAGGAAGAAAGAAGAAAGAAGAAGGAAAGAGAAACATGGGCCAGTTTGACCAGTTGCCTGCAGCTGGGGGGCGGGTTGGAACCCGCCGCCTTTGGCTGCACCGGGCGCTCCCGCCCAGGGGCCGCCTGCCCCGCAGCGCCGGCCTCTCACCACCTGCGGCTTCGGGGACGGGACGTTTCTTCGGGTCGCGCCTGAGGGGTCTCAGCCCTGGAAACCCGGCTCTTCCCACCAGCGGAGCGCCGCCGCCCCACGAGTTTCAGTCTCCGCACGAGGTCCCGCCCGGGAAGGGCTCATCCCTGCCGGACCCGCGGGGAGGGGCCGGGGCCGGGGGCCGGGGCCGGGGGCCGGGGGCCGGGCCGGGGGCCGGGGGCCGGGGGCCGGGCCGGGGGCCGGGCCTGGGGGAGGGACCTGGGGCCGGGGCCGGGGGCCGGGGCCTGGGGAGGGACCTGGGGCCGGGGGCCGGGGCCTGGGGAGGGACCTGGTGCCGGGGGCCGGGGGCCGGGGGCCGGGGCCGGGGGCCGGGGGCGGGGGGCCGGGGGCCGGGGGCCGGGCCTGGGGGAGGGACCTGGGGCCGGGGGCCGGGGGCCGGGGGCCGGGGGCGGGGGCCGGGGCCGGGGCCGGGGTCCCCGTTAAGCGCAGGAAAAGGCGCGCCCCCCGCCTGCCCGGCCCGCCGGCGCTGTGTGCGCTCCCGCCCGGGCCGGACGTGGCTTTGCGCTGCCGCCCCCCCCCCCGCCCCCGGTGCGGCCGGACGGCGGAGAGGGGGTGCCCGTGGGTGGCTCCCCGCGGGCTCCAGCCCAGCGGCCCCCTCCCTCCGGCGGGCGGGGAGGGGAGGGCCGGAGCGCGACCGCCCGAGGCCCCTCCTGCCGCCGCGGGAGCTCCATAAAAGCCCGAGACACCCCGCTCACCCCGACACCCGTCACCCCGACACCCGTCACCCCGACACCCCGACCGACACCCAGCGCCGCTCCCTCCGGACAGTGCCCGCCGCCCATCGCCGTGAGTGCCCTCGGGCCGGACGGAGCCCGGGTCCGTGCGGGACCCTGTCTCCTCTGCGGGGCCCGGGGCGGGAGGGTGCGCTCCTCAGCCGGGTCCCACCTGCCCCCGGGTCCCCCATCCTCCGGCCGCCGGGTCCCACCTGCCCCCGGGTCCCCCATCCTCCTGCCGCCGGGTCCCACCTGCCCCCGGGTCCCCCATCCTCCGGCCGCCCTCCCCCCGCACCCTCCGGCGGGTGGGCCTCTGGGAGCCTTTGGAGGAAGCGGAGGGAGAACTCGCGCCCCCCCCCCCCCCCCCCCGAGCCCAGCTGCGGCTTCCCGGGGTCTCAGCCCGCAGGCAGGTTCCGGCAGAATCCTGTGTCCGACCGGCCTGGGGTCCACCTTTCCCCTCTCTCCTCTCCCCTCTCCCTCCCCCCCTCCCCTCTCCCCCTGTCCTCTTTCCTCTCCCCTTTCCTTTCTCCCCTCTCCCCCTTGGCCCCGTGCTCCTCCCCCGCCTCCCAGGCGCCCGCAGACAGAAGTCTCCGGAAGAAACTTTCCTCCGGGACTGACGGGCGGGCGGACGGACAGACGGGTTTGGGGCAGGAGGGCAGGGAAGTGATGCCCTGTGCCCAGCACGGACCTCCTGTGTGTGCAGCCTCTGAACCCGTGCCTCCCACTCGGGACTCTCCGCTGGGACTGGGACCAGATCGCACGGAGTCCCGGGCCTGGAGGGGGGCGCAGGCTGCACCCCGAGAGGGCGCTGCCACTCCGCTCCCCTCTGTCCGGGGTCAGCGGGGGACCAGGCTCCGGGGTCCTGGGTGTCAGCGGGGGACCAGCTCCGGGGTCCTGGGTGTCAGCGGGGGACCATGCTCCGGGGTCCTGGGTGTCAGCGGGGGACCAGCTCCGGGGGTCCTGGGTGTCAGCGGGGGACCAGGCTCCGGGGGTCCTGGGAGTCAGCGGGGGACCAGGCTCCGGGGTCCTGGGTGTCAGCGGGGGACCAGCTCCGGGGTCCTGGGTGTCAGCGGGGGACCATGCTCCGGGGTCCTGGGTGTCAGCGGGGGACCAGCTCCGGGGGTCCTGGGAGTCAGCGGGGGACCAGGCTCCGGGGTCCTGGGTGTCAGCGGGGGACCAGGCTCCGGGGTCCTGGGTGTCAGCGGGGGACCAGGCCCGGTAAGCGAGGGGGCTGTGTGTGCCATGTGTCCTCCTAACCCCCCACCCCCTTCCCTGCGTCTCTGTGCCCTCAGATGCCGGGGAGCCAGCGCCTGGGGCCGGCCCGCGGGGCGCTCGCCCTGTGCCTGCTGCTGTGCCTGGGCCTGCTGGCGGAGGCCTACCCCGAGAAGCCCGAGAAGCCCGGGGCCAACGCGTCCGCGGAGGAGCTGGCCAGATACTACGCTGCGCTGCGACACTACATCAACCTCATCACCAGGCAGAGGTGGGTGGGCGCCAGGGATCTCCTCCAGGAGCCCGTGCCCTGCTTGCCCAGGGCTCCTGGGGGTTCAGAGAGGGCAGGGACCGTTTCTTCTTCCTGTGTCCCAGGGCAGGACCCAAACAGGACTGTCAGCGATCAGGGAGTGTTTGTGCGGGGCACTGAGTACTCTCCCTCCGCAACTGGTCACCCAGTCCCTGTCCCCAGAACCAAGTTCTCAGCGCTGTGTGGCTGGCCTCCCCTCCCACCTACCCATCATCCCCTGGCCTTTTTGTTCTTAGGACAGTGGGTTCTGTTTTGGAACGAGGAAGGGAAAGTACCAGGTGAAAGCGTGGGCAGTGCCTCCGGAGAATGGCTGTGGGGAAGCCAGAGAGCAGGGTGATCCAGTAAAAATAACAACAAAACCCAAGGAGGAGAGCTGGTTGATAAAGACATTGCCAGACCTTCCAGTCTGCCCAGAGCAAAGGGAATGACAGTGTATGGGAAAAGACAGATAGAGCTATTTTCTTCTCTTCTGTACGGTGTCTCAGACCTTTACTTGAAAATTCTGGTCCAAATAAGTAGACATTTAGCAGAAAACTGTTGCTCTAAAGTGCAGAAGTGTGGCCATTGTATAGCACATGAGCTCTGAAAAGAAAGTGTCTGCTTGGTGCTTTATTAGCTAGAAGCTTATTGTTCTAGTCACTCTAGGATGACTCCAGAGTTTGCATGGAATTCAAGAAATTGTAAAGCTCATTCTGAACCCCCAGGAAGTGAAAATGAAATTCCACATTTTCGTTCTCAGTATCAACTATTAAGCAAAAAAAAAATCAAATATAAATAATTTTACAAATAACCTAGGATTTAAAATGTTTCTAAAATTGGTTCATCTTAGTTCTAAGTTATTCAGTATTTTATTATTTTAATTCTCAAGCTCAAATGACCTTAAATAAGCTAAAAAGCAATGAACCCTTCAAAAGCATTAGTGCTATTTAATATATTTAAATTATGTTTTATAAAGTGTTGTTTTTATCATATTTTTGCTTTTTACAAGTCAGGGAATAGTTGGAATGGATGCAAAGTGGAGAGAATTTCTATTTCTTAAACAAAGTTTATTTTTTATGTTTCATCACAAAGCCTTTTCATCCTGAGAAGTTTTCTAAAAGATCCAATTTTCATAGAATCAGAAATACATGAGAGTGCCAGAATTGAGTAGTATTGGTTTATGATCCTTGAAGACTGATAATGTTAATTAGTGAAAAGCAACAGTGTTTTATATCCTAATAGATTTCTCAGAAAGTTAATTGCTTTTAGTTATTGCTTATGCTATCTTACAGACCAGAGAAAAGAACTTGTACAAATAAAAAAGATATTGTTCTTTTCCAAGAAAACCTTTGTTAGTTCTTTAGTTTGTCATTTATAACACCCAGGAGAACTTAGTTTTGAAAAGACAGTTGCTATAAAGCTTTATCATTATACGGTATTAAAGCTTTAGCATTTCACAATGTTTTCCTAGGCGTTACTTTGTTCAGTCTTTACTTCAGAACTTTGGAGTGAGTATAATTATCTCCATTTTACTAAGAACATTTCATGGAATCATATTAGGGGTGATGGAATTGGAGCCCTCCTACTCATTTTCCTTAATGTTGTCACCACCATTAAGCAGTCGATATGACTTCCAACATCTTTGATGAGAAAAAAGTAAGGGGAAGGGACTTGAGTTTCATGGGAAGAGATTCAGATTCAGTGGAAATGAATTGGCCCTAGAGAAGAGCTTTTGTCTTATCTTCATATAAATGCCTCCTTAGAAACTATCAGAGGCATGTAATCTGCACCCATAATCTGCATCCTGTATGTGGATTGCCTTCCCACCACACAACCCACTCAGATGCACATGTTGGCATTTGTGAAGATTTTGGTGTCATTTGTGAGTATATGTTTGACTATCACAAATGCTCTCTTTCCTCCCTTTTCCGCACAGTCCATGTTTTTAAGCTGTATACCCTGGTTCACTGCTTCCAAAAGCTACATCATTTTTTTTCTAGAGCATGGTAGATCCACATCTTGTTAGATGGCCTCAGGCTGGCTTTTTGCTCCCATGATATTTAGCCATGTCCGGACACAACGAGGGATGGTGCTACTGACACCCCGTGAGCAGGGGCCAGGGATGCAACTGAACATCCTACTCTGCCTAGGACAGCCCCCTGCAGCTAAGAATTAGCCAGCCCAAAAGTCCATAGTGCTGCGGTTGAGAAACCCAGTCTTAGGTAAGTGTTTCTCTACCCAGGTGCACCTTGGAATCGTCTGAGAAGTTTAAATAATATGCTGATGTTAGACTGCACCTGGACCAGTTAAGTCAGAACTTGCAGTAAGGGTGGGTCTTAGACTTCAGAGCAATTTTAAAAGCTCTTTCGAGTGCAGCCAGGATTAGCACCCCCCCGCCCCAAATCTATACCTTTGAAAGTTAAAGCATTGTAGAGAAAAAGGATAATCTAGAATAAATTAGAGAATGAAGAACAGTGAACAGTGATATCCTGTGCAAATCCTGTTATAGATGTAGTCTCTTTACCTGACAAATTGGAGAAAATACTGGCCAGTTTTTTCATTCACTGGAGCATGATGAAGATAAATGATTAAAGGTGGCCCAAGAGTTTTAAGATTAGTAAAACCAACCGATGGACAAAATACATAAGTATAAGCAGCAGCCTAGAGTCTGATAAGGCAGCTCCAGGAAATCTGAGTAAACCTCACAAGTGATGGCGACAGGGGAGTCTGCTTATTTTTTTTCTTCCCTTGAGTCTTAGAAAAAGGGGTAATAATAGGAAGATTTCCCCCCAAATTTAGTTTTAATTGTGCTAGATAGGCAGTCAGAGTATGCCTTCTGACAGCTCTGTTCCTCAGTTTCATCTCTTAGCTAATCAGTCCAGCCAGGCAAATCTCCCATTTGTGGAAAAAAAGTGGCGGTTGGTGTCTAGTGCCCTTTTTGAAAAAGGGGCGAACAACCTCTTTAAAAGAATGCAATTTAGTACTGTAGACTTGTTAGACTCTTTAGAGAGAGAGCGCGCGAGAGAGCAAGGATCGGAGGAATGGATTCATTTACTCACCTGGAGTAAGTAACGTATGTCATCCTGGCAGGAAAGCATAGCTTTGCATTCAGATATTGTCCTATTTATATCCTACAACAGGAGAACAAGACCAGAAACATTTCTATGACCAGTAGGATTCCTTTATTCTTACAGGACAGATTAAAATCACAGCATGACATATAAGCATAACCAATGGATGCAACACACTGTAGGGGGCAGCGGGGTTGGGGGGTGGGGGCAGGTGGTGGTGGTGGTGGTGGTGGTGAGGGCATGTGGGGGGGAGAGAGGGGGATGGATGTCAATGGGGAAAAAAAGGAGACAAGTACTACTATTTGTAATACTTCAAACAATAACAAAATACAATAAAAACTATATGGCTATTTGAAACAAAACAAAAACAAAAACAAAATCACAGCAGGAGAGAAGGCTTTGTTTTAGCTTGTGGTACCCCAAACAAATAAGGGAAATATAGAACCCAGGTTCCATTGCTATCTGTAAGAAAGTGTGGATTTCAGCGGCAGCCACTTATATTTGTGTATCACTTTGTCATTTCCAAAGCTTTGTGACACACTGCATTTTCACTGAGAGTCTGATTTAAGTATGTTATGATTTTGTTTTTACAAATGAAAAAACTAAGAATAAAAGACACAGGTGAGTCTAGAACTTTAGTCACCAATTTTGTTGTTAGAGATGTTTCTTAAATATCATCTGGTCTCTTTAAGATTTAAACTGGTGTATATCATTCGAGCTATAGCCAATTAACTGATTATGGAAACATTAAAATCATGCTTTGATGTACTTTTATTTCCTACCACCTAGTTATAAATATATCTACACATGTATTATTTGTGGTATAAAAAGACAAGAATTTGGAATTTTGTTGGTTTTAAATAATCTGCTGTTATTTAAGTATGTAAAAAAGTATATACATATTTAATTTGAAGTCATATGATACTTTTTATTTTTTAATCGATTTTAGAGAGAGGGAGGGAGAGGGAGAGGGAAAAACATGGATGTGAGAGAGAAACATCAATCGGTTGCCTGCCACATGCGCCCCACCTGGGACTGAACCTGAACCTGAGGCTGTGCCCGACCAGGAAGAAACAAACTGCCACCTGTGTGAATGGGACGCTGCTCCACCCACTGAGCCGCCGCCAGGGCATGATGTTTTGACGATAATGTGTGCTTTGGGCACCTAAGTTACTGTTAGCAGATAATGAACTGAAAGTCAGGTTTAGATTTGACAACCCAAATGGGAGATGATCTTTTTTTCTAAATATTTTTATGAATATTCAGAACTTGCTTTAAATAATTTTTCCTTTCTGTCTGGGTTTTCTTAGATATGGGAAACGATCCAGCCCTGAGACGCTGATTTCAGACCTCTTGATGAGCGAAGGCGCAGAGAATATCCCTCGAACTAGGTATGGGAAGGCTAGTGTGGGACTCTGGGGGAGGGAATCAGAGAGGGCTGCGAGGGGAGGAAGCTTTGGAACCCAGTCTTCCAGACCAGGTAGGCTTTGGAGAGAGAGGGGGATGGAGGATAAGGTGGGGAGGACCTTTCTTTTCATGGAGTCATTTGTAAATCTTTAAACTGGGGGGTAATATTTTCTACTGCAAATTATTTGGTGCTCCTTTGAAAAACTTTAAATATGAGTGACTTTTACTGCAGACATTACTCTATGGATAACTTTTATTGGGTTAGAATTGGGGGAGCATGAATGAGTTTCCGTCTCTACATTGAAATGACCCATCATCCAATTCTGACTGGGTTAATCTTATTTATTTATTTATTTATTTTTATATATACTCTGTGGAGTGTCTGGGTATCTGATAACATGTCATGTCCCTCATGAGTCTTATTCCAATCTTTCTGGTTTACATGACACTGTAGATAAATTACATGGAACTCATTTACTTTTTAACATATTTTAGTTCAACTGATGTCACACAGTAATTTATTGCATTCAATGAGTGAATATTGAACATTGTATTATTCTTAGGGGCTTGTAGCCTTGAGACTTTCTTGGCCGGTGGACTGTTTGGGGAAGAGATGCCCACCAATATCTAAGGGTCAGACATTGGGCCAGGACCCCCTGGACAAGGAGTTCTGCTAAAAGGAAGCCTGGTCCCCCTTGGTTTTCATCCGCTGCCTCTTGCCTCTACCCCCATTAGATCACATGGCATGTGGTTCATCCATTGCTGTGGTAGCTTGTCTGCCTTAATCCCAGAGCTCCACAACAGCAAGAACCAAGTTCCCCAGAAGAGGTCACTAGAACACTTGCTCAGTGAATGTGACCGGAGAAGTTCCCCTTGGAGGTTAAAGCAGATGACCTGCCCTCCAACCCTTCCTCCATTCCCTTGTGCAGTGGCCAGCCAGAGTGCAGGTGCCATTCTAGAGTTGTTTTCTCCGAGGGAAACAACCATTTGGACTGGAATAAAGCTCCAGTGCTCATATCTGTGGAGGTACCAGCCAGATTTCAATAACAAATGCAAGGGAAGCAAATGGAAAAATTCATAAGGATTGCTTTTACATACTAATCAATAAATGCTTTTTATGTTTCATGGACATGCGAATGATGTTTGCTACAGTAAAAAGCTTAGGGTGAGCTATATTCTATCTACTTAGGATAAGAAAAAGAACCATTCAGACTTACTTTGTTTTGTGGCCTGAAGTTGCACGGTTAGGGCACGAAATAAAGTTAATTGCATCCTGATTGACGGCCACAATCAATGCAGTTATAAGGAAACAAAACCTGATAGCCTTGTTGTTGCCTGTGAATGCTTTTTATTTTATTTTATTAAAAAGGGTCCTTTAGAGTCCAAATACATAGCGTCTGCCTACATAGAAAGCCTTGAAGGGAAACGAAGGAAGCATATTCAGAGTTGAGCAACAATAACTTTCTTGTTATGGTTTTTGTGTGGTTCCTAGTTTTGATCTTCAGAAATACTGCAGGGTTCTTTGATAAACACAGAGCCTTTGAAATAGTCCCTCTGAGATTTGCCCAAGACTCCCATGACCAAGAGTAAAAGCTCCTCAGCTGGGTCTGTGCACATTGTGCCACCGTCTCCCGCTCTGATACTCCACATGGAATGCCAGTGGGAGCCCTTTCCACAGCTTCTGACCATCTTTCAGTTCAGAACAGAATGTCTCGCTCTTGCCAGCTCCCCAGGAAGCTGGGGAGCTTCTCTTACACGCTCTGCTTCTTCTGTTGACAGGCTGGAAGACCGCTCTATGTGGTGATGGGAGAGGGAACTTGCTCTCCGGGCTTTGCCTATTTTCCAACCCCAATTTTATTCTGTAAAGCTAGAGGCTGCCTGTCCTCCCAATGCAAGCAGCCCCTCTGCTCCCCTCTGCAGAGCTCTCCTCTGTTGTCATTGCATATATGTGCATTTCAATAAAGTAACATGCATTCAAAAGTGTCTGCTCCTCAATGAAAGATCTGATGTTGCGACAGTGAGCATTAAGTTATTCACGAAATCAGTCTCCCCACGTAGCGAATTCAAGGCTTGTTTCACCAATATTAAAGCAGTGGCTATGGAACATATAAAGATAGGATATTTATGATGGCCAAGACTTAGCCTTGTGTATGTAACAGAAATATTCGGAAACATTGGACAGGGGAATACTAGTTTGGAGCAATTTGATGAACGCCTCCTGCCAATCACATGGGCTTCTTGTTAACCTCATTGGCCTACGTTATTCACAGACAGAATTTCTAATAGCATTTTCTGAAAAAAAGTCTTCTCTCTCCCCTGTTTAATGTGGTAGCCACTAGCCACCTGTGGCTTTTCAGCACTCAAATGTAGCTCATGAAATAAGGAGCTGAGTTTTAAACCTTATCAAACTTTAAATAGCCAGATGTTTTTAGCAGTTACCATGTTAGACAGCTCCGGTATACACAGTTCCTTAAGCTACTACTCTTGGAATTTGAGTCATAAGCAGAAATACACTTGAGTCGGATGATTATGTTTTCACACAACATGGGGTATGTTAATCAATTTAGCTAAAGGTTATGAAATCCCTTCCTTCATGTACCTATTTGTATGGGCTTAGTTTTAAATCAGTGTTTTTAGATTCTTACACGTAATTTTTAAATCAAAGAAAGTGGGTATTTCCCACCACATCTAAATGCCTAAAAGGCTAAACATTAAACAGTCTACATTGTACCTATAACTCTCCCCTCTTCACCTCATCACGTGAGAAAGAGGACTAACCCTTCACACCAGGTGAGCCCTGTGGTGCATCCATCAATGGTTTCCAGGTTCTCTGACCTTCATCTCCTCTCAACTTCTGAGTTCTCACTTGTGGAATGAGAGTAGTAAATCCTGCCCAACTTCCCACATATCTATAATGGGATTAAAATTCAAGTTAAGCCGAAACCGGTTTGGCTCAGTGGATAGAGAGTCGGCCTAAGGACTAAGAGGTGCCAGGTTCGATTCCGGTCAAGGGCATGTACCTTGGTTGTGGGCACATCCCCAGTAGGGGGTGTGCAAGAGGCAGCTGATTGATGATTCTCTCTCATCGATGTTTCTTACTCTAACTCTCTATCCCCCTCTCTTCCCCTCTGTAAAAAAATCAATGATATATATATTGATATATATATATATATATATATATATATATTTTAAAAATTTCAAGTTAAGATATTGTTATAAGTAAGCAATAGTAGGGATGTGGGTAAAGATGATGTTTTTGATGATCCCTGTGCTGGGTTACAAATCCCTTCTATAGATGGAATGTTGTGTCTCTCCACATCCATATGTCGACATCCTAATCTTCAGTGTGATGGCATTTTGAGGTGGGCTCTTTGGGGGTGATTAGAACATGAGCACACATGAATAGGATTCATTCCCATATAGAAAGGGACTCCAGAGTGGGCCCTTGTCCTCACTATCACATAGGACACAGTGAGAAGATCATTGTTCATAAACCAGGAAGCAGGCTCAAGTGGCAACACTGCATTCCAACAGGATCCCCAGGTTCTCAAACATTCTCAGCCTGCTGATCCTCTCGGGAATAGGCGTACAGGCACCAGATCACCCACCTGTCATTACAAATAATAATCCTCACTTCAGTGACAATGAGAAGAACTCCACCTTCATTAATGAGCTTAGTGACCCGGAGCAGGGATTCGTGCACATTGAAAGGAAATTAATTAGAAGGTGGCTGGCGGGGTGGGACTGGGCGAGACGGGCCACACACGTCCTGGAGCCAACCTCCCGTGGTCCCTCTGTGACTGGCCGCACCTGGGTTGGCACCGTGGCTCAAAGGATGTCTGTGGAGTGAGCGGGGTCCCTTGGCCTGGCCAGCAGGGATTGGGCCGAAACTGGCTCTTCGACATCCCCCGAGGGGTCCCAGAGTGTGAGAGGGCACTCTGGAAAGTTGCTGTCGTACAGGGTGTGGAACACAAATGCACATGTGCAGATTTGGGGCGACAGTGCCCCAGCAACAACATAACCCACAGCCGAAGGTGAAATAGTGCAGTCCTGTGAGGAATTGGGCTCCCTTCTCTCTGGTTTCGGGGTACATCACCTGAGAAACATGGCTGCTAAGTCACTGCAGCTTGGCAGCTCCTGAGTTGAGTGTCTGCCCCTGGTGGTCATCATAGCAACCAATCAGATGGACACTTAGCATATTAGCCTTTTATATATATAGATGCCAATAAACACAATAACTCCATAAGCATTAGTAAGCTCTCATCCAAACTCTATTCTGCCTTAAGTATAAATTGTTCATAACTTTTTTGAAGATGCTGTTACAGTTTTATGTTGATCTTTACAATGCCATGACACATTCAAGTAGATAATTATTCCACCAATTTTCAGAGATAAGGAAACTGAGGCCCAGGGAAACTACGTGACTTTCTACCTCACTCAGGTTAGGGGTCCATGCATCGGCTCCTCTGGTTACAAACTTTACCCTGCCGGATGCTGTCTCACAGCAGCAGTGAGTCAAGACGAGGTCACATACAATCCAGTTAAGAATATAACTCGGGTACACTTACAAATCAGAGAATAATGAAGTACTAAACTGTGCAAGAAGCATTTAGAAATGGGGAACGAGTGTGGGCAGAACCAGCTGGAAAGGGTTAATGGAGTATGCGAATGTTGAGCTGGAAGGAGGACACTATGTAAGGCGACCAGCTGGGCTAACCTCAGAGGTAGGGCAGCCGCAACGGGCGTAGCCAGTGACAGGACCAGGGGCAGAGTAGCCAGGGGTTGGATTGATGAAGTAGGTCCAAGCATGGCCAACTCATCCATCTGTCCATTCATAGGCTTAACATTCTTGAGCACCTTATATATATTGGGCATTGTACTAAGCTCTGGGGATATAAAGATCAATGAAAGTATCTCAGGCAATTTACTGTCTATCGAGGGAGATGGATAATGACAGTGCATTCTTAGAAGTGCTAAGATGAGAGTGTCAGAGATTTGGCTATAGCCAGGTTCTTCTGTCTGACTCATCGTGCTTCCCTTTGCAGTTTTCTGACAAAGGAACTATAGATCTGAGAATGAGTTGCCAAATGAAGAACAACATTCCAGATGGGCAAGTGTCTGGTGATTCAGATTCAGGGCTGCCCTAAGCTGAGTCAGGGCACCTGGCTGAGGCCCAGGACTCTGGAATAGCCCCTTACCCCATACACAAGCTCAGCATTCTGGTGCCGAGTGACAGGAATTAGTGAGTTCGGTGGGGGACTTTGCCAAATTTACTTACCCAAACAGCCCCGTGGAGAAGAAGCGCAGGCCCATCACAGGCGGCAGCAAATGGAAGAAAAGAAGGGCACTCGTGAATGCAGGTGGCCTTCTGATGGCGTCCCTGACCACGGGGCACTGGGGCCGCAGGAAACAGAACAGCCGCCGGCCTGGTGCCCTGAGGGAGACGGGGAAAGGACAGAGTCTCTCTGGGCCAAGGCTGCAGCTTGGGCCTCCACACGCAGCTGCTCACCGCCGTCATTCCCTGTCATGGGGTCAGAACTGTCGTGGGCGTGAGGTGCTGCAGGAGCCAGGCCGGGGAGAGGGAGGGAGGAGCACCTATTGCCGATGAAGAAGGAGAAAGAGGGGGTAGAGGACATGCAGTTATGAGAGAGCAATACATATTTTGAGTGTGTTGTAAGCTGTTTGAACTTGACCATATGCTAGGCAGGGACCACTGGTTACTGTGCTAAAGGGAAAACCCCATCCGGTACGAAAGCAAGTCCTCTAGGCCAGCAGTCACCAGCCTTTCGGACCTCACAGACCTCTGGTTGGCAGACAAACCAGGCTCCCTTCACCCCACACCCCGCAGCTCCCCGAATAGTATTCTTCATTCTGCTAAATCAGGACAGACTTCCCAGCCTGAGATCTCTGAAACATGTCTTATGGACAAGTTTACAAGCTCAGAGGATAAGTATATTGAGGTCAGTTTAATTCCTTATTCAGGAAGGAAGGGACTATTTCTTCCGCGATATTTGAATTTCCTGAACATTTGAATTTCCAGCTTCTTTTCGAGTCTAGATAAGGGCCAGAGCAGAGAAGCAGATAGGAACAAAGAGAAGGGAACTCAGCCTGGTTTGGGATTTGCACACCGTGGCCCCTTGCTTCCCGCTGAGTGGAGTAAGGATGACGGATGCCGCTGTCTAACGCTACACCCACGGGCAGACTCTGTGCCCCTTCTGATGACGGGAAAGTAACTATGATGGCAGTTAATTGTTTCCCTCTTTCTAATACACACACATAGGCTTACATGGTTACTTATTTCTGTGTAGGGAAGAGAAAATGTTTCTCCTCCCTGCAGAACATTGGAATCAGTTACAGTATCATCAGAATGAAACAAATACCCTTTTCTATATCATCATAAAGGAAAACAGCCTTTTAATAAGATATTTCGGTGGAATATTCTTTTATTGTGGTTCATGCTAGGAGCTTTACGATACATTGTCACAATTAAATGATTGCCTTTTCTTCTGCCTATTAAAAAAATTAGCACAGTGTGAAATCACACTGAATCTTTTAAAAGTCAGAATGGAATAACATATAATTAATCTTACGTGTCAACCGGGCTCATTGTTTAAAGTGGTAAGTAATAGCTTTCAGTTGGAACTCATTCTAATGCTGCAGGATTGAAACTCTTTGCAGTTACGGGCACTGTGTGGGGTGATACCTGCCTGTCTGCCTGACTTAGGGTAGGTGCTCCATGGAAGCCAGCTCAGGCTGGAGGTGAGTGTGACGCCTGAAAGTAACCCCCCATGAGCCAGAACAAGTGCAGTGTTTGGTGAACAACCTCAGAGGGTTTGTTGTGATTTTTCCTGGAGGTGCAGGTACCATTTTTGACAAAATTACAGGAGTTTATTCAACCATGCTTTCCTGGAGCCCTCAGAGTTATTGGTTGCTAGTGTCCTTTCCTTCATCTCAGAAGTTTCACTCACTTTAATTAACCT